ATATATATATATATATATATATATATATATATATATATATCATATTCTTTTGTTATTTAATTTATAATGTCGGTAACATCCACATTTTTAATAAATAAATAAATAATATTAATACTCTTATTTCTGTTATTCACAAGCAAAATAAAATATTATCTCCAAGACTCTTCACAACATATAACTATTTAGTACAAACATATGATATGATAACCTTAGGGAATACAAAGAATTATTTAATCCTATCAACTAAATACAGCCCTACATTATTTTTATGACTTTTTTTTTCCTTATCCGGTCAGTCAAAAATATTAATACAAGATATATTGAATGAATCGTTTTAATAAGCTACTCTTGAAATGCCATCAAAAGACATATTTCATATTAGAATTCAATTTTTTCTAATGAAATTTATTTGATACAAATTTAAATTAATAAAATCTATTATCCTTAAACAAACTCGCAAGTACAAAATAAATGAACAAACATAAGAGGCTTATAGGCTTTGAATAATTTTCACTTTTTTGGATTTTTTTTAATGTAGACTTCTTATTTAAATATCATTTCCAATTTTAAAACAAATATGACTATTGCCCTACTTATTTTTCTTTAAATTTTACAATTTTTATATCTAAACGCTAGTAAATAAGGAGGGAAGTTTGAGTTTTTGAAAATGGTTAACATTTATTATCTGAAATACATAAATTACAGAATGAATGTAGGTGATGGGGTGGGGTGGGGTGGGGTGCGGGTAGGGTGGGTGTGGTGGGTGGGGGGAGGCTGTTGTACTGTATGAAGTGACTAGATGGGCAGGATGTTTTGCCCCTCATATCAAATCTAGCCAAAACCCTCTCTGCCTTCTGCTACTACTCCTACTGTTTAACATTTTCTTTTTCATCCTTTAATTTATTGATTAAATTTTTTTCCTTACGTTTTCTGTACAAAAAAGCAAATTTCTTTCTTTTTGATTACTGATATATTATCTCTGTCCACTCTACAACCCCATTGGTTCTTTATTTCCCACTAGATTGAAGTGGCCCTCAACCCCCCCCGCACCCCCACCAACCCACCACCCCTACCCATTCTTGAATCTTGCCTTTTATATTACTAGAAGAATAAAAATAAACAAAAAGCCAAATATAACCTTTGCTCATGTTATTTTCTTCATTTATGGTTTAAATAAATACTTGGTGTTTCCATTAAGTTGAGGATAAAAAAACATACTAACAACTTAGGGTGTTGGGGCATTTTTCTCCTTTCTTGGTTTTTAGGTATCTCTAAGCTTGTTTAAGAAAAAAGATTATCTTTTTTTAAAAAAGAAAGCATTAGTATAATTGTAGTGAAATAGAATATCTATTTTACACAGATCCCTATGGCTATTTGGAATGCAGGGGTGGTATCCAACATTGCTTGCTGAAACTCATTCTCTTTGTTTAGTTTAAAAGGTCCAGTTTTTGTTCTTTTTTTTAAGAGCAAGGAGAATGAGAAACTTCAAAAAATAGAGTTTTGAGCTTTTTTCTTCACCTAGATTGAAGTGAAATCAAGATTTCTTTTTTTTTTCTGCTTGTGTGATTGAGCATAAATATTTTTCTCTTGGGGGTTGTTAAGTTCTTGATGTGAATCTTGAAATTTTAAATTTGAAAAGAACAAAAAAAAAAAAACCTTTCTTGTTTTGAAATGATTACTCTAAGTTCTTTCAATGATTGTGAACTGTCTTGAACTATAGAAAAGAAGAGAACTTTTTGTAACTTACAAGAACCTCAACAACTGAATGAAGATGAAGTCTATGAATGATGATAGCAGAAGTAGCAACAATAATATCAGTAATAATAACAGTGCAGCAGCTAATACTAACTGGTTGGGTTTTTCTCTCACACCCCACATGAAAATGGAGGTTACTAATTCTTCTGATACTCAACATCAACATCAATTTGCACAAAGTTTCTATCTTTCATCTTCTCCTCCTCCCCCAATGAATGTATCAACAACCTCTGCTCTCTGTTATGAAAATAACCCTTTTCATTCAACCTTATCTGTCATGCCTTTGAAATCTGATGGTTCTCTTTGCATTATGGAAGCTCTATCAAGATCTCATGCTGATGGTTAGTCTTGATATTTTTTTAAAGTTTTAATCTTTTTTATTTTTCTAGTAACCCCTTTGACTTATCTTTGTTTTTTTTTTAAAGCTATGGTGCAAAGTTCTTCACCTAAGCTTGAGGATTTTTTAGGGGGTGCAAGTATGGGGAATAGTCAATATGGAAGTCATGATAGGGAGGCTATGGCTTTGAGCTTAGATAGTTTGTATTATCATCAAAATGAAGAGGAGATTCAAGTTCATAGTCATCATCCTTACTATTCTCCCATGCATTGTCATGGTATGTATCATCAAGAAACACTATTGGAAGAAACTAAACCAACTCAAATTTCAAACTGTGAAGCTCAAATGACTGGGAATGAGCTGAAAAGCTGGGGTCAGTATGCTGAACAGCATGCTATTGACCAACACATAAATGCCACCTGTAGTATGGTTGCTGCTGCTGCAGCAGCAGCATCTGGTGGTGGTGGTGGTACCTCTGGTTGTAATGAGTTGCAGTCTTTAAGTTTGTCTATGAATCCTGGTTCTCAGTCCAGCTGTGTCACTCCAAGACAAATTTCTCCTAGTGGACTGGAATGTGTAGCTGTAGAATCAAAAAAGAGGGCCTCTGGTAAAGTTGCTCAAAAACAACCTGTCCACAGGAAATCCATTGACACATTTGGTCAGAGAACTTCTCAGTATAGAGGTGTCACTAGGTCAGTACTCTCCATTTATTTTAATATTTTAGTTTGTGGGGTTAACTATTTCTCATGTTTTTGAGGGGTATACATGGTGTTTGTCATTTTCTGTTTATTCAAATGTGAATATATGTTGCTTCCAGTTGGAAAGACTTGCCTTTTTTCTTGATTTTTATATCTACTTTACTGTAAGATTTTCAAATGACATTGTGTGAATATGATTTTCAACCAGACATAGGTGGACAGGTAGGTATGAAGCACATTTATGGGATAATAGTTGCAAGAAGGAAGGGCAAACCAGGAAAGGGAGACAAGGTTAGCTAGTATATGAATCTTTTAATCAATCAACACAAATTTGTTTGCTTGTATTTTGCTATTTGACTGCCTATTCTTTTGGCACCATTCTGTTCATACTCTGACTAATTTTATGATTTTTTTGTCACTGTTGTGGGGATATGCTAATCTAATCAACTTCACCTTATTTCAGTTTATCTTGGTAAGTAACATTGTCAACATCAAAATTTCAAGGAACATGCTTATATACTCTTCACTTAGCACTAAACTAAAAAAAATAATGTGGAATTTAGGTGGCTATGATATGGAAGAAAAAGCTGCAAGAGCTTATGATCTAGCTGCACTAAAATATTGGGGTCCTTCAACTCACATCAATTTCCCAGTAAGCGTTTGTTAATTAGTAATTAAGTCAAGTTATAATATCTAATGCCTTTAGCTAACAAGAGAAATACTATTTTCTTTGCTCATTTTTGTAGTTAGAAAATTATCAGAAAGAACTTGATGACATGAAGAATATGACCAGGCAAGAATATGTTGCACATTTAAGAAGGTGAGTTTTGTTATTACTCATAACTAGTCTTTTTATATTCTTGTGTTTTTATTATTAGTTTGTGTTGAATTCTTTTGTGTTCTTGTCATTTTGTTTGCATAGGAAAAGTAGTGGATTCTCAAGAGGTGCTTCTATTTACAGAGGAGTGACAAGGTATACTAAAAATTTCATTTGATTAACTATTGTCTGTAACAACATGTTTAGTATACGCAAAACTTACCCCTACCTCTTCTAACAGGCACCATCAACATGGAAGATGGCAGGCCAGAATTGGAAGAGTTGCTGGGAACAAAGATCTTTATCTTGGCACTTTTAGTAAATACTTGCAAACTCTTGATATTAGTCTTTTAAACATTAGTATTATTTATATAATTTCATTGAAAATAACTAAGTAATAAGAGTGTCTTTTCCTTTTGGTACCATATAGTTGGTATCTTTTTTAGCCACTACTAGTAATGCTTGTCAAAGGCTGACTATATACAGTTTACTTTGTTGGTGTATTTCTCATACATGGTGGGACTGAAAAACTTTTTCAAAAGCTGTTTTCTTCCTTGTGATCACATAATAAAGAGAAAAAGAAAAGTTCTTTATTATCAATTTTGATGTTCGTAGGCACACAAGAAGAAGCAGCAGAGGCTTATGATGTTGCTGCAATCAAATTCAGGGGTGTAAATGCTGTTACAAACTTTGACATATCGCGATACGACGTTGAAAAGATCATGGCTAGTAATACTCTGCCTGCTGGTGAATTAGCTAAGAGAACTAAAGAAAGAGAGTCAATTGAATACAACAATAACACAGGAGGTGTTGGTGGTCAAAAGAATGAGGAATGTGTTGACAACAACAACAATGGGACTATCACAGATTGGAAAATGGTGTTATATCAAACATCCAATCCTTCACTAGGATCGAGTTATCGTAACCCTACATCATTCTCCATGGCATTACAAGATTTGATTGGCATCGATTCGATGACTAATTCAAATAACCATCATCATGCCACAATTCTTGATCATGAACAGAACAAGATTGGTAACCCTTTTTCAAATGCTTCATCTTTGGTAACTAGTCTTGGTAGTTCAAGAGAAGCAAGTCCTGATAAAAGTGCTACTGCTGCCTCATTAGTCTTTGCTAAGCCTACGAAATTCGCCGTCCCAACGGCTACTAGTGTCAATGCTTGTATTCCCTCAGCCCAATTAAGGCCAATTCCAGTCTCCATGGCTCACCTACCAGTCTTTGCAGCTTTGAATGATGCATGAAAAATTGCTTTTTTTGGTTACATGTTGTAACATTGTTTATTTTTTTGCATGAACAAGAAAAAGAAATTAGTAGTGGTTGGTTGAAAAAAGGTGAAAAAGAAAAGAAAACTAATGAAGTTGTCGGATTTTAGCTAGTATTTTTATATATTTTTTCCTAATTTTTAATGTAAGTGGATGACTTTAGGGTACTAATAGAGTGGAGGGGCCAAGTTACCATGTATTGGAAACTTTTTCAAACTCAAAAAAAAAAGGTAATGGTAGTAACTTGTTACTCTTATTCGATGTTTTGTATCTGCATTGACGTTTATCTAATGTTATAACTATGAAGTTTTATGTTGTTACGAAGAGTCTAATCTCATGATGAAATTTAAAGTAGTATATAATGAGATAATTCAAGATGACCCCATTTTATTATTGAATCTACTTTATCATTCCTTTGTGGATTCTTGATCAAGTACAAAAAACTAATTACTCGTGTTTTTTTTCATCACAATAATGCAAATGCAAAAAAGAAAAAGAAAAGGTTTTTCCTTTGACCAAATTATGGCACTCTCATATTGATAACACCATCATTCCTATATCTTTATCTTTTTCTTCTCTTTGAGTTAAAGGCAACAAACATTCCCTCTCATATTTCAAAAAGTGTTGGAAAGAGGGAGATTCTTGGATTTTTTTTTTAATTATAAGGATTTATAAGTCATAATTAGTTACAACTTTGTCTCCTTTTATATGAGCCATAGCTTAGTTATAAAAAAAAATTCACTTTAGTTTTTCATAGTGTGGTACCTAAAAGCAAATTCATGTCTTGATGAGTTGATGTGGCACTAATTAAACCTATTGATTTTTTAATAATTGATCTTTGTTAATTATTTTTTAATTTTACTCACACGTGTGAATGTGCCTTTTTGAGCAAAACTTACCATTCAGAAAGTTAGAGTAATATTGGTAAATTTTGTATTATTAGAGACAAAGAGGAAATGATGCCATGAAAGATGGAATATGTACCAAATAAAGTTAAATTTTGGTTGTCGTTTAAAATTTGTTTCAAAATAAGTCGTGTTTTTAGTTTTGACACGTCTCATAAGAAACTATTCATTCCTACAATTAAAGCGTGTTTTTCTAATTTATCCTTAATTACATGTTTTAAAGAAAAAAGTGATTCTTTAATGATACTCCATTGTTTCTATTTACTTGTCTATTTTGACTTAGACAGGTAAAAATCTAAAATGATGATATATATTAATAGAAACAAATGATATTAAGACTAAGGAAAAATTTGAGTATATGTTTCAAAATTAGGACAATGTTAGATACTGCATGGAGAGTGCAAAAATGGTCCAAAAGTTAAAGAGTGGACCCAAAAATGAAATTGAGAATTGACAAGGTGGGTATAGTGTACTGATCTTCATAATCATGATGTTATTTGTTCTATCCTTATCAATAACTTCATTAGCTGGCCATAATTGCGCATAAACTTTTTAAGTAGGGTACTAATTAAGTGCCCACAAATTCATAAATCACTACTTTGTAGTTTGTACAGTAAAAACTTAATATTTATTATGTTTTAATTTATTCATTTAATTTTAACTTGATATGAAATTCAAAAATAGACTAAAGTAAAATTTTGGAGCAACAATGAGATTATTTCTCTATTATAAGCTCGAATCGTAAAATTAGTCATCAGGAGCAGTAGATTACCTATATAATATTACACCCTTTGAAGGATTAATTTGTAACTAACTTAAATCTATGAAAGAATAGGTTATATTAAACTACTTATTATTGTAAATATTTAAATCCATCGAAAATTTAAAATGGAAAAAAGATATAGAAGTGGGTGAAAAGAAAAAAATGAAGTGAGTGTGTATATATATTACATAATAATTGAATGGTCAATGAATAATTAAAAAAAAAGGGGGCATATAAGAAGGAGGGAACATGTATAATTGATTAATTTTCTTGTTGAAAGGTCATTGTAATGGTCAAAAGGATTGAAATTTTTTGTGGAAAAAATGGGAAAGTAAATTTGGATACTTCTAAATTTCTAAATATATAAATAACTAAAAGCTAATATACTAAAAATAATGTGATTTGAAGTTTGTCACCTTTTGGTTTATAGTCAAAAACAATGATTACTTAATCGGTTGTGGACAGCTATGTAGTATAATTAATTAAACCTAAAACACTATGTATTATGTAAGACAGCAGTTAATCAGCTAATCAATTAATTTTGTCATCCATGCAATTTTACTTCAAAAGATACTACAATAATATCCTTCACGTAATTTTATTTTATAATTCAATAATCACTCAAATTAAAATAATATTTTAATATCATTAAAAGTACATAGTTTATGAAATTTAGTATGAAATATTTTCAACAATTTAATTTCAAAATATTATAGATGGTTATATTTGTTAAGGCTGATAATATAAAAATTATTATTTCACTAAAAGGTCATGTTATAAAGTGATATACATATAAAGCGTGAGATTTAGCAACATAAAAAAGTCAAGATACAGTATGTTTTTTCTTTTAAATAATTGTTAATGTCCGCATTAATTTAACACCTTGATTAATTTCACAAATATTTATCATTTTTTCACCAACAATAAATATTTAATAACTTTATCCATTAAATCTGTAATAAAATTAAAAAAACCAAACCACTTAATGCTTTTTTTAATCTACAAGGATTTGAGCCTTTGATTGTGATTGCCATAAATTGGACTTCTATATCCAATTTTTGAAAATAAAGTTTAACTAATTAGAAGGGTAAGATATATTAATGGATATATAGTACAAGAAAATGACCTTATTTCTTAAATCACTCAAATTTTGTAAGAAACATTTTCGACAAGCCAATTTTAATTTGATTATATGAAAATTTCCTAAGAAACATTTTTGACAAGTCAATTTCAATACATAAAACAAATTCATAAAGTGTGATATGTGGCAACATAAAGAAGTCCAGCTACAATATGTTTTTTTAACACCTCAATTACTTTCACAAATATGTGTGATCTCTCACCAGCAATAAGTATCAGATAACTCTATCCACTAAGTCTATAATAAAATAAATAAAATAAAAACACTTGATATTTTTGTTTCTACAGCGATTTGAACCTTTGAATGCAAACTCTAACATGTTTGGGTGCATTGCCAATGTAAAAAAATCATTTACGATTTGAGTATATATAAGTTAAATCTAATAATTTTAATTGGGATTGCCATAAATTGGAATTCTATCCAATTTTTGAAAATAAAGTTTAATAAATTAGAAGGGTAAGATATATTGATGGATATATAGTACAAGAAAATGACCTTATCTCTAAAATTATTCAAAACTTAAACATAAGTCCATAAACAAAAATGTATGCGGCAAAGCGGACCACAAAATCAATTTATTTCATTTGAGGACCACCTAAAACTGAATAAAGCAAGTGAATGTCCAGTAGTAGTAATTTATATTATCAAAATAAACTTTACAACCATATCTTATACATGCTCAAAGATTTAAGAAGATTTTCTTTCATAATATATTTTTTTTATATAAAAAAAACATAAGAAAAAACAAAGAAAAAAACGAAACCGTACAATATGGCAGCTGGTGAAGAATGGGACAATTCTACTATACAAAATATGTCGATTCGTTTTCAAAGAATTAATAACACTAAGTAGATATTCAGAAAAGGACTATGATATAATGAGGCTAAAATATATAATATATATAATGTTCCCTCTAAAGGGACCTTGTTTCCTACCATGAAACTGTTTTTTTATTATTTTTTAAAAAAAGAATATTATGTAAATATATTGTTGAATTTTGTTGCAAAGAATATAAATTAAATGGTCCCTCTTTATTTTATTTTTTTGGTATTAGTAGTACATAAGTCCCCATTTCCACGTGAAAATTGGCAGAACAAAAAAAACTCTTAAATTTGGATGTGTGACATTATTGTTTATATGCCAAACTAAGAAGGCTTTTACATTATTGGTAAGTTTACTAGATTGCTTTTTGGCTAGGTTAAAAGTTAAACCTTAGGTGAAAAAAACAAATGTAAATCTATGGGTTCAAGTACTTTACTAGTCCAACAATAGTTTAAAGTTGGAGTAGAAAATCATTTTTTTTATATTTTGTATAGTAATTATAAAATCAAAATAATTTTAGAAGTGGATTGGAAAGGTTCACATTTGAGTTCGACTATTATTTTAATTTGCGCCCTTACAAGGTCTATTTGAGGGAAGTGTTTCCTATTTAATTTTTAAAATTTTTTTCATAGTCACTACTCGAAATTGAGACCTCTAATTAAAATAACATAACTTCATCTGTTGCAACTTAAATAATGACTCAATAAATATATTGATATTTTCTGAATTTATAATTTGCGATTTAATAAATAAATTGTATATACATAGTTGGACATGGCTTTTTAGTATATACATGTTAACACAAATTAAGTCATCGTACTTTTGAAATTATAAATATGTATGTATATCACAATAAAAATATTAGATTCAATTAGACCTTAAAATTTCATCACTATTTTACCCCGATTCAATATATGGTTTGACAAATAAAATTAGTTTTAAATTTTTTTCGTCGTTTATTTAAACAAAAGATAATTTATTAGTGTTCCAACTAGTAGAGTACTAATTAGTGAGACATTTTTATGGAGAAATATAAATGAAAGTATACAAGACAAAATAGAAATTTGAAAGTACTTGTTCATTTATAACTAATGATTTAGAGAACGAATTTAAAAATCAAAAGATTCGGTGGAAGCCAACCATATCAAGAGGATGTCGATGCTAACCCTAGTTTATACATAGACTCTCTGATACAATATGGGTCAAGTCAAATAGGTTCAGTGCTTCGATCCAAAATACAATTAGCCCAGCATGAATGCATATCCTTCACAATTAGCTCTACTCATGTTTAACACCTCACAATGTTGAGAATGATAATGATAATGAGAATCAAGTTCAGAAACATAAAGAGGACCAGGTCGCCTGAGCTTGTTTCTATAGTCAAACTCGACTTAATATTCAAGACTCAATATTCAGATCAATATTCTCAACCCACTACATTGATATAATTCATCCACCACAAAGTGAATTATTAGATTCCTTATAATTTCCAAGTACACACTTAATTAGCTCAAACCACACGTAATACCTCACTAAGATAATTTAACTAGATCCAGGTTATTCATTTACCACTAAATGCTTTATAACGCTCATTCTAATTCTTAAAAATGAAATTATTTAATGTATAGTTAAACTAATCAACTTCAAAGTCAATATCAAATATCAAACGAAAAAAAAAATTGATTTA